GGATGGTATACATATGCTGCATTGACTGTACAGGATTCAGATTAATGTGCCATTTATTCTGTCTTAAAAGAGACATATTTTAAATGCTTACCTTTTCACATTTAAATCATTCAGATGGGGTCTATATAAAGCAGAACTGCAATGCTTTGGTCTGAACTTTATAAGCCCCTCTTTCACCCCTTTTCTGATGTGTGTCTCAAAGCAGCTTGTTTTTGGCAAAACCCAAACGACACCTTATTTGACAATAGCTTTGCAAATAATTTGACATAATAGTTAATAAAATGTCATAGAAAATAGAATAAAATGAGCTATAGAATTAGAATTTTTTATATTAAGTTGGTTGGAGCTATTTTAAGTCAAACCTTGTAAAATGTCATATAAATTGAGTTCTGGGTGAGCAAGTGATCACAATGTGTTGAGAATGACCAGCTACTACCACACCATTTCAGCTCAAAATCTGTTATTGTCACTTTATGTAGAATAAGTTTGATTCCCTGTCACTGTCATTTTCTGTTTTGTCCATTCCAAATGTTGTAGAAGTACATCCCAAGATTACAGAGTTTATTAAAACTTGGAAAGTAAAGTGGCTGGTTGGATATCTTGCTCTTGCAGACAAACACAGGCATAGACAGGGACAAAAGCATTCTCACCGCTTCGCCTTTGCAGCACACACAGTTTATTTACAGTTAACATATAACTGCAACATTGTTTTTTAAAAAGACTTGCAAGGACTTGAAATTTTAAGTTTCAGACTTGAGACTTACTTGAGACCTGCAAAACAATGACTTGGTCCCACCTCTGCTCAAAACAGGCTCCTCTCACACCGTACCTTTGCACCAATAGGAGTCGGAGTTATGATGTGTTCAGGAACATGGTAAAAATCTGTTTCCCAACACACACATATGGCATTCATTATCATCTCATAAAGAGTCTGCTATGAAAGATGAAGCGCTTACACGTATTAACATACACCAAATAATAATAATAATAATAATAATAATAATAATAA